TACATCTTAAAAAATTTTTAATTACTCCTTCCATTATTAAAAATCTTATTTATGTTCGTCGTTTCGTTTGTGAAAATAATTGTTCTATTGAATTTGACTCTTTTGGATAATCTGTGAAGGATTACCGCACCAAACAAATTCTCATTCGATGTGACAACACTGGTGACCTTTATCCCGTTACTTCTCCAACTACTCAAGCTTTCGTATCCATTGCTCCGTCAATTTGGCATCAACGTCTTGGTCATCCCGGTCATCACATGTTCAAGAATCTAGTTAATAATAATTATATTTCTTGTTCGTCTATTATAGACCCTACTTTATGTCATGCATGTCAATTGGGAAAACATGTTAAGTTACCTTTTAGTTCATCTAGTTCTGGTTCACATTTTCCTTTTGAATTAATTCATTCAGATGTTTGGACATCTCCCATTCAAAGTTTAAGTGGAATTAAATATTATGTTATTTTTATTGATGATTATTCTCACTTTGTATGGGTATATCCTATTCGTTTCAAATCTGATGTTTTTGACAAGTTTGTGCATTTCCAATCATTTGTCAATAAAGAATTTGAAACTGATATCAAAACCGTTCATTCTGACAATGGAGGTGAGTATAACAATCATAAATTTCATAATCTTTTTTCCCACAATGGCATTAAATTTTGTTTCTCGTGTCCTTATACTTCTCAACAAAATGGTAAATCTGAATGTATGCTTCGCACTCTCAACAATGCCATTCACACGCTTTTGTTTCATGCTCGGCTTCCTCCCACCTATTGGGCGGAAGCCCTTCACATGGCGGCTCATCTCCTTAACATACTTCCCTCCACCACCCTTGGCAATGACACCTCCTTTCATAAACTTTACAATAAAACTCCAACATATGATCACCTTCGCGTCTTTGGTTGCCTTTGCTTTCCTCACATCAATGCCCCTCATAAACTCCCCCCGAGATCCACCCCTTGAATTTTTCTTGGTTATCCAACCAATCATAAAGGCTATCGTTGTCTTAATCTCGACACAAACCAAATAATCATATCCCGCCATGTGGTGTTTGACGAAACAGTCTTTCCTTTTGGATCCATCACACCAAATATTGCACCGTCTTACTCTTTTCTTGACAATTCTGTTTCATCTCACCCTCTTGCATATACCCCGGCCCCTAATACTCCATTCAAGGATGATGCTCCTCACGAGCCATCCTCGGATCCAAACACTAGCACTTCCAATCAACCATCCTCTCACGACATCCCTCTTCAATCTACCTCCTCATCTTCGGACTTCTGCAACCTCCCAAACTCTCCTACTCTTGGCTCTCATCAGTCAAATCTGATTACGTCGATTCCTTCTAATTCTCCAATCTCTTCTCCTTCTCATGAATCTACTAATCTTCCTTCCAATGTCACTCAATCTCAACATCCTATGCTCACTCGTGCGAAACACGAAAATTTTAAACCTCTTCGCAAACTAAACCTTCACATTGATTCCTCCTCTCCTATCCCTAAAAATTATCTACAGGCTTTTAAAGATCCAAACTGGCTTAATGCAACGACTGAAGAATATACTGCTCTTATCTCTAACAAAACTTGGGTACTTGTTCTGAGACCTCCTGCTGCTAGTGTTATTAACTGTATTTGGCTGTTTAAAAAGAAACATGATGCAGATTGGTCGTTATCTCGCTATAAAGCTCGTCTAGTTGCTAATGGACGAAGTCAGCGTCCCGGAATTGATTGTGATGAAACGTTTAGTCCTGTCGTTAAGCCCGCCACCATTCGCATCGTTCTTACTATTGCTGTCACACATTAGTAGCCTATTAGACAGCTTGATGTAAAGAATGCTTTTCTTCATGGGCATTTACAAGAAATGGTATACATGCAACAACCGCCAGGTTTTAGAGATCCCTCTCGACCAGATTTTGTGTGTCTGCTTCAGAAATCTCTTTATGGTCTCAAACAGGCACCTCGGGGTTGGTTTCAGCGGTTTGCCATGTTCATTTCACGCACTGGGTTTGTTCATAGCCGGTGTGACACTTCTTTATTCATATACAGATAGGGCTCTCATACGGCATACCTATTATTATACGTGGATGACATTGTTCTTACTGGTTCTTCTCCTAATTTACTGACTCACATTGTCTCTCTATTGAGTGGTGAGTTCTCTATGTCGGATCTTGGGGACCTCCACTATTTTTTGGGTATTAGAGCTACCCAATCGGCCGATGGATTGTTCTTGTCTGAACAAAAATATGCAATCGAAATTCTCAATCGAGCTTCTATGTCTAACTGCAAGCCCGCTTCTAGTCCAGCTGATTTATCTGCAAAGTTGGATGGATCTGGTCCTCCTATTGATGATCCTACTTTATATCGCAGCTTAGTTGGTGCATTACAGTATCTTACATTCACTCGACCTAATATCACATATGTTGTGCAACAGATATGTCTATATAAGCATGACCCGCGTGAACCTCATTTCACTGCTCTAAAAAGTATTTTACCTTATGTTCGAGGTACTACAGCTTATGGGCTTCAGTTATATTCTTCACCCAATCATTCTCTCATTGCATACTCCGATGTTGATTGGGGTGGTTCCCAGTGACTCGTCGGTCTACTTCGGGATATTGTGTCTTTCTTGGTCACAATCTTCTCTCTTGGTCCTCCAAATGTCAGAATACTACATCAAGGTCGAGTGCTGAAACCGAATACAGGGGTGTTGCTAATGCGGTGGCTGAAACATGTTGGATTCGCAACTTACTTCTTGAGCTTCATTATCTGCTTGCTAAGGCTACCATTGTCTATTATGATAATGTGAGTGCTGTTTACATGTCATCTAATCTGGTTCATCACCAACGTACAAAACACATAGAGATTGATCTCCATTTTGGTCGAGACAAAGTCCCCACTGGTCATTTTCGTGTCCTTCATGTTCCGTCTTCTTCTCAATATGCTGATATTTTTACAAAGAGTTTGCCGTCTTTGTTCTTTGATTTTCGATCCAGCTTGAACGTTCGTGAGCATACCCTCGTTCAACCTGCGGGGGTTGTTAGTGTAGGATATATAGTATGTATGTGTATTCATTTATTGTGTGGCCCATGTATTTGGCCCTTTTATGATGTATCGTGTGTATATATATATATATATATATATATATATATATATATATATATATATATATATATATATATATATATGTATATATATTGAGGGTATGCAATATAATGCTTTATGGGAAATATAGACGATTTCAGTGATGAAATCACTAACTTTCTAATACATATGACTCACTATTTATACTACAAAAATAAGATGAAAAATGAGTTATAATATAAATGCATATTATGATGGTGCATTATTACATTCATAAAACACATTGAAATGGTTGTTACTAATGCTAAATAATGATGGAGAGTTGTGGGGACAAGGGGAATCTAAAGGTCATTCACAAACTAATATTGTGTAACACTCTTACTTGCATGACGATTGTATCATGCCTCGTTAAAACCTTAATAGATAAAACCTCATGGAAAAAATTCTTTATTAAGGAAAAAGAGTAAATGATTAATAACATACATTGGAAAAAATGTCTCGTTAAAAACCTTGCTAAGAAAACTCAGTGGGAAAAGCTTAGCTAGGGAAATGAGTTTAATATGTTTCCATCTCCTTCTGATCATCACAACACTTGATTTCCTTGAAACGTCACATACCAATGTTCCGTACCATATTTTCAAATTTGGATGTAGGAGGCCACGCTCTTTTTGAATATCATGAGTGAAAAAAAAACTTTGGTGATATATTTTTGGCTATGTCTACTTTGATAAACCCTTCCTTGAATTGGGCTATACAAGCCACATTATCTTCATATAGAACATCCTTGTTAGAAGTTATACCATAATTTTCACGAATATGATGAGTTAAATTTCTTAACAAAATACATGCACGACTTGCCTCATAAATTGATATAATCTTTGTATGGTTAGAAGAAGCAGCAACTAAAGTTTGTTTAACAAAACGCTAAGAAATTGTGGTACCTCCACAAGTGAATAACATGTTTGGGATTGAGCTTTGTGTGGATCAGATAAATATTCAACATCTGCATAACCTTTTAACTATGCATTTGATGCATTTAAGTAGTATAAGCCCATATCCATTATACCTCGAAGATATCGAAGAATGTGTTGACTCTATTCTAGTGTCTTCTTATTTGGAAAAAACTACATCTTGCTAATGAGTTTATAGCAAAAGATATATCAGGTTTGTATTATTAGCATGATACATTAGTGCACCATTAGCACTTAGATATTAACTTCGGGACCAAGAAGTTTTTCATGTTTTTCACAATGCCGAAAATTGGTCCTTTTTGTAATCTAGGTGCCTTACCATCATCGGGTTACTCAATGGATGTGAGTTATCCATATAAAATCTCTTAAGCACTTTTTTTAGATAAGTGGATTGACGTACAAAACTTCGTCCTTCGTGTGCTCACTTTGAAGACCCAAACAAAATTTCGTTTTACCAAGATCTTTCATTTCGAAAAAAAAAAATCAAACAAGAAGTGGCCTTTTCCAACTCTCCAAGAGTTCCAATTATGTTCAAATCATCTATGTAAACAGAAATTATAACAAATTTTAATCCAAATCTTTTTATGAATACACATGTCACATCGTGGCACCCATAAGAGGCACGTGATCTTCAATTGCCATGTCACGTCGTGGCATACGGGTTTCCTCAAAAACCATGTATTTGACTCCTTTATATCATCAACTGGTTCATTCTGGGAAATGGGTGTTACAACAAGTATATATATCGCCTTGTTTCTTTTTTCCACCATAAAATGGGGTAAGGATAAATGATGTTTAAGAAATATTTGTGAAAATTGATGACGTGAAATGGAAGTAAAAACAAATTAGGAAATTTTGTAAAATGTTAGGGACTTAATTAGTAAAACATCATTTCAATGACTTTCTACAACACGTAGATGCAAAACACCCATACATAGTTTTCCAAATTAAGGCATGTCCCCATTAAGACCATTAAGTAAATAACATTCAGCCCCTAATTCAGATGAACAAAACTCCTGAACAGAGAGAGTTAAAGAGAAATTGTACAAGAAAAAAAAAACATAACAAAATAAAGCATAAATTAGGAGAGGTAACATACCTTGTTAAAACACCCTGAATGAGGTAGTGTGGCTCCTATTGGAGGATGGTTGGAAGCTATGTTGGTAGGGTCATCATGAAGCTCTATAGTCTATACCACGAAGAGTAACTCATCTTCTAACTAGTTACAATCTAAAATAAGATGATGTGTCAGCAATCTTTTTTCCGCTCAAAACATGTCTACATTGGTGGTATTGAAAAAAAAAATATTGGAACTAACTTGAATTTGCATGGCCTCCTTAAGTTGGAATGCCACCTCAGCAATCGCCGGTCGTTTTTCCCGAGTTTTTTCCAAGCATTGATACGCAATTGCTGAAAACTTGAGCAGTGTACTTGGTTTGATATCTTTCCTTATTTTGGGATCAGTAATTTTGTCTATGTCTCTACTTTTGTAGCTAGCTCGAGCCAAATGATGGAGGAATCGCCGTTCGTCATTGTAACTGAAATCACACGCGAGCCTTCCACATAATACTTCAAATAAAACCACACCAAACGAATAAACATCTGATTCTTTTGTTAGAAAACCTGTTTTTTCGTATTGTGGGTCACAATAACCATGTGTGCCAGCAATGTTAGTGATCACAAACGTGTTCTGTTGATTTGCTAGACCTATTCTTGACAGCCCAAAATCAGCAAGTTTTACATTCCAATTCTTATCCAACAAAATATTTGAACTTTTTATATCACGGTGTATTATTCTGTGTTTTTCTGCCACGTGATTATGAAGATAGTCCAATGCAGAAGCAACATCAATGCATATTTTTAGAAGTTGTGGCCATGAAGGTCGAACCAATATAGAAGTGTCACGTAAATATGTATCAAGGCTTCCATTGCTCGCATATTCATAGACAAGGATCATCTCCTTGTTATCATCACAAAACCCTACAAGGATTATAATGTTTTCGTGTTGATATTGTGAGAGCAGGGTGAGCTCAGTGTGGAACTCCTTGTTACCTTGAAACCCGGTGACATCTAACCGTTTTACAGCAACTACTTGGTTTACATGATCAGCCCAGAAGAGGATTCCCTTGTAGACCCTTCCATATCCACCCTTCCCGATGAAGTTTCTTTCGTTAAAGTCTTGGGTACCATCTTTTATGGCGTGAAGAGGGATTTTGAGATCGTTTATTTGCTTCATCTAAATGTAATCGGGAGTAACTAATATTTATCAAGTCTGAAACAACATATATACACAAAATTTATGAAACTAACCTTTGGATGTGTTAGCAGCATTCGATCTGAACTTCCGGGGTCAAGTGGAGGTATACTATGAGTATACATATCTGCCCTCTGAGCAACCTCCGCATATTCTAATATCTATGCACACATACACAACAATAATTTACCAAAATGACATCAACATAAACAATAATCATCAAATGAATTTCTTGAAGCATGAGATATCTCCAGCATTCACCTTTGTATCAACAGCATCATTTTTCTGCTTGTTTGCTACATTGTTACAACACATTTTAAACAAAAAAACTCAAATAATATTCAAACACATAATCGACAAAAGATCAAAGAAGCAAAAAACACCACAACATATATCATACGAACCTAAAAGAATTGCATTACAAACTCCACATTTGTAGACTAGAACTTCTGGAGGCTCCAACAGAGCTTTCCAGCAACTTGGGCAACGAACTAACCGGAGTTTAGTGTTCACCTTTGGATATTGTAGTAGCGAGTGATTTGAACTTTCGGTGTCATGTGGAAATACATTATTACCATAAATTTTTGCCTTTTGAGCAAAATCTGTGTGTGCTACCAATATCTATGCATACACAAACAAAAATAATTCACCAAAATTTGCATAGATAAATATAAGTACTCGTCAAATCAATTTCTTGAAGCAAGAGAAATATCCGGCATTTACCTCTGTATCATGATCTGGATCAACTCTCTTGCTTTTATCCTTCTTCACTGCATTGTTACACCACATTTCAAAAAAAAACATAAAATATTTGAAAAAGAAATCAACCGAAGATATCCTACGAACCTATAAGAATTGCATTACAGCCTCCACATACATAGACTGGAACTTGTGGTGGCTCATACTGAAATTTCCAGCAACATGGGCATCGAACTAACAGAAGTTTATCTTTTCCAATATAAAGAACTAACCGGTGTTTAGTGCTCATTTTGATGCTCAGATTTATGAACTGCTATTGGCTTTTGAAAACCCGGAAATGTTGAACAAATAGAATTATTTAGCAAATTAATGATTAACAGATGCTAATTGGTTAATTATGAACTAGATTTTGGTCAAAATAAGTCAAAATGGCGTAGAAGACCCCATGGAATTAAAGACCTCTGTTGACCGAAAAAGAACGGTGGAAATTTTGAACCAAAATGTAATGGACAAGAACCCAATTCTGGAAATTAGGAAGACATAATATTACCCCTTTTGTCAAAAGATCCAAAACCCAACAAATCAAGAACCGGTAATCAATTATAGTTTAAGGAAAAAAAAGTGATTTTATAAAAAAAATTACATTGGTATTGGAGGAGAAATTGAGAGAACGAGCATGAGAAATATTGTTATCAAAGATCCAAAATTTGAAACATAGATTCAAATCAAGAACGAGGCATATCAAAATAGTATTGCAAGAAATTAGTTTCGCGAGAAAAGAAAAACATGAGAGATTCTTGATGGATCTAAGCTTCGAAACAGAGAACCAAATCAAGAACTACGAATTAACAAAAACGACATTTGTTACTGTATTTGGAATGAAGAGAATAAGAACCTGAAAATTTGTTAGGAAATGCTGTTGTTCATACGAAATCCATGGAAATTTGGAGAGTAAGTCTAGAAGATGAAACAGTTGGGAACAGAAGACGAAGTCCTGTAATAGGCGACTAACTCGAAATAAGTATACATATAAAAGTAAAAGGGAAAACATAATGATTATCACGCCTGTAAACAGTAAGCTTCAAGAGTTTCCGACTTTCACCACGTTACTTTGGACATATTCGCTTTTTCGTCCTTCTATTTTTTCACCATCTTAGTTTCCCAATCTAGGATCCCACCGCAATTGTTTTCAAATTATTTGGACTCCTTACTTTCTTTATTCCCAACATTGATTTTAGTTTTCCGACGACTTCTCATCCAATAATTTAGGATTTCGATTTTTGTCGCCAACAACCGTATGCGCTCTATTGCCGCCACCAATCGTCCGCCAACAACCATCGGTGCTCTGTTACTGTTTCGAATTTCGGTATGTGGTATGTTGTTTCAATTTGATTATGATTTTCTGTTCAATTGCTCTTCCTTCTTTTTTTTATGCAATGTCTCCGACTCTGTGGGTTTCAAGTTTCCGACGACTTCCCGTCTGAAATTTCGGTATTCCGATATTTGTCGCCAACAACCGTCTGCGCACTATTGCCACCGCCAACCGCCTGTGCTCTGTTGTTGCTTGGAATTTTGGTATGTTGTATGTTGTTTCAGTTTGATTATGATTTTATGTTGAACTTCTCTTCCTTCTGTTTTTTTTGTGCGATGGCTCCTGTTTCGTGTATAATTCAAGTCATTTTATAGGAAAAAAAAAAAACAAACCTGCATAAATGGATATTTTGCAAGTTCATACATTGCCCAATCCTATCTATTGCTTAAATTTTGTCTAGAAAAAGTTGCACCTGATATAGACCATAACAAAATGAAAATTGTTGCAATTTCATAGACTTGAGAGAGTTATAGAAAAACTGCATTTACAATACTCTCAACATGCTACTAATTTATCTCGAAGTTACCCAGTTTTACAATTTTGCCTCCAAAATGGTTTTGTTCTGATTTTAGTGTCACTTTTTAATGTCCTGCTGTCTGTAAGATTAGGGTTTTGAGTAACTGTTTGTATTTTTATTTTGATTCGGTATTAAGAATCTAAAGGGTTGTGATAGCTTAGACTAGCAAATTACACACAGGAAATCAAACGTAAAGGATAGGTTCCCACAATTCTAGAGGTGGGTGCTCTCCCAAGTTCATAAGAACTGTTTCATTAATCTTCACATAAAAAAAACAAAAGACCCTCCCCGGACTATATATAAGACAGCTGGAGACAAACAGAATAAACCCAGACCCTCCCCACTAGAAGGATCCCCACAGATAAAATCATGGGGGAGGAGCATAAGAAACGAGAGGGACCACACCAAATAAAACAAAGACAAAAAGAAACATAAATAGGCCTGGGCTGCAGAAGAGGATTAAGATGGAGTGGGTTGGTGTGGTTTGTTCCTTCCCCTTTTGTAGACAAGGACGTCCTTGGGCCTATCAATACCCGCCTCCCAAACTCGAACCTTGCCCTCAAGGTTAAATTCTGGAAATTGAAGGTGGAACCTGTTAAAGTCTTCCCAAGTGGCTTCAGCTTCAGACAACCCCTTCCATTGAATCAACACTTCCTTTCCTTGATCTCTTCCCTTTCCATCCCTTACCCCTCGAAGCAATAATGGTTGGAGGATTAGCTCCATCTCTGTGTTGAGTTGTGGAGGCAGTTCATTGCTAACAGTGGGCTCACCATGGGCTGCCCGCAGTTGAGACACGTGAAAGACGGGATGGATAGCAGCCGTTGGAGGGAGGTCCAACTTGTAGGCGACTTTACCAATCCGTTGGGCAATGCGATAGGGTCCATAGTATTTAGGAGCCAATTTCTCATACTTTCTTTTGGCTAGACTTTGTAGCCGGTATGGGCGAAGCTTCACGTAAACCTTATCGCCCACGTTGAACTCCACTTCTCGGCGATGCTTGTTAGCCTGCAGCTCCATTTTTTGTTGATCCCTCATCAAATGGACTCGAAGGTCATCCAAGACGGCATCCCGATCTTCTAGCAGTTGATCGATCGTATCCATATTAGTTTGTTGTCCCTCATAACGGATGATGGGAGATGGGTCACGACCATACAAGGCTTTGAATGGGGTGCCATTTATCGAGGTGTGATAAGATGTATTATACCATAACTCCGCCCACGACAGCCAACGTGCCCAGCTCGTGGGTTTTTCTGAACAGAAACATCTCAAGTAAGTCTCCAAACAGCAATTGACCACCTCAGACTGCCCATCTGTTTGAGGGTGGTAGGTTGTGCTTCTCTTCAGTTGCACCTCATGTAAACAGAACATCTCACTCCAAAGTTGGCTCACAAAAATTCGGTCTCTATCGCTGATAATGGAAGAGGGAAAACCATGCAACCTCACAATCTCTTTGATGAATTCATTGGCAACTGTAGCTGTTATGAAGGGATGTTTGAGAGGGACAAAATGGGCATATTTGGTTAGTCTATCAACTACCACCCATATTGTGTCCCAGCCCCTTGATTTTGGAAGGCCTTCAATAAAGTCCATGGTCACTTCGTCCCATGTTTGTGTCGGGAGAGGGATGGGTTGCAGCAGCCCAGCTGGGGATGTAGTAAGAGTTTTGTGGGTTTGACAAATTTTGCAGTTCCTCACGTATTCCATGATGGTGGTGCGCATTCCAGGCCAAAACAGTTCCATTGCTGCTCGCATGTATGTTTTCTTTTCCCCTGCATGCCCCCCAATTGGGGAATCGTGGTACATGGCTAGAATCTCGGGTAAAAGGGCTGTTGAAGAGGGAATGACTAGCCGACCCTTGAACAGAAGGTTACCTTGGTATGTGGAATACCCTTTGTGAGATTCTGCATCCCGCTCCAAGTCCACTTTAACTTTTTGTATGAAGTCATCCCTGGCCAATTCCTCTTTCAGTTGATCCCAAAATTTCCAAACCCCCGTGGCGATGGTGTTGCATTCGAGCTAGTTGTCCTTTCGTGATAGAGCATCCGCCACGCGGTTGCTAGCCCCTGGTCGGTATTGGATATCGAAGTTGAAGCCCATGAGTTTCGAAACCCATTTTTGGTAATCGCTTCCCACCATCCTCTGTTCTAGAATGTATTTGAGGCTCAGTTGATCGGTGCGCACCAAGAACTTTCTTCCCAGCAGATAGGGTCGTCATTTGAGGACCGCCATGACAATTGCCATGAGTTCTTTCTCGTAAATAGATTTAAGGCGAGCTTAAGCACCTAAGGTGAAACTGTAGTAGGCTATCGGCCGGTTTTCTTGCATCAAAACGGCCCCCAAACCATGACTGGACGCATCCGTCGCGACAACAAAGAGCTTGGTGAAGTCGGGCATGGCCAAAACTGGGACAGTGGTCATGGCTTTTTTTAGTTGTAAGAAAGCCTCGTTGGCCTCCTCATTCCAGCCAAACTTGTCTTTTTTTAACTGCTCCGTGAGAGGTTTGGCTATGTTGGCATACCCTTTCACAAATTTCCTATAATACGCGGTGAGTCCAAGGAACCCCCTAAGCCCTTTGAGATTACCCGGAGTAGGCCAATCTTGCATTGCTTGGATTTTGTTGTCTTTATCAAATACTCCCTTTGCTGAAACCACGTGTCCCAAGTATGTCAGCCTTCTCTTCCCGAACTCACATTTTTTGAAATTTACAAACAATTGATGCTCCTTCAATTTTTGGAGAGCTGCTAGCACATGATCGCGATGTAGATCCTCACTAGGGCTGTAAATCAAAATATCGTCAAAGAAGACCATAATGAAATTCCTTAGGTAGGGACGGAATATATCATTCATAAGAGCTTGAAAAGTAGTCGGGGCATTAGTGAGGCCGAAAGGCATTACTTTCAACTCGTAATGCCCGTCGTGTGTTCAAAACGCCGTTTTTAGTACATCTTCCACCCGAACCCTGATTTGGTGATAACCTGACTTCAAGTCAAGTTTACTGAAAATGACCGACCCATGTAGTTCATCCAGCAGCTCATCTATAACGGGTATAGGGAATTTGTCGGGAACTGTTGCTCGATTCAAAGCCCTGTAGTCTACGCAAAATCTCCAAGACCCGTCCTTCTTTCTCACTAGGATAACCGGGCTGGAATACGGGCTATTGCTGGGTTGAATCACACCCGCCTGTAACATTTCTCTGATCATCCTTTCAATTTCATCTTTCTGATAGTGAGGATACCGATAGGGACGAACACTTACCGGGGCTGTCCCATCTTTAATGACGATTTGGTGTTCCAGGGATCGTGGAGGGGGTAGGCCGGTGGGTTCTTGGAAGATACCCTCAAATTCTTGGATAAGACTCTGTAGAAATTTAGGGATAGGTTCAGGGGTATCTGAGATTACCTCCGTGTTACTGAGCTCGAGAAGCATGCCATTTCCCTCCTTCCCAATCGTCCTCGTCATAGCCTTAAGAGAAATTAGGGATTTCCCAGAGATTTGTCCCCCACGATTTTAGCTTTTCTCCCCCCTACATCGAGTTCCATGGTCTGCTCTTTCCAATTCGTTTTAGTAACCCCCAGGGTCTCCAACCATTGCATTCCCAATATAACATCAGAACTACCTAACCGCAGTGGGAGGAAATCCTCCGTGATATCGAGCTCCTTAAGGTGAAGTAAGATACCTTTGCAAATCCATGTGCCCCGCTCGCTATCGACGGTTCCAATTCTTACCCCGTACGGTTCTGTCTCGTCGATCGGGATCCCCAAGGTGGAGACCAGGTGTGAAGCGATGAAGTTGTGCGTGGCCCCAGGATCAATTAGGGTTACCACCGGTTGATTCCCAATAGCCCCTCTAATCTTCATCGTCTTTGGAGAAGACAAACCTGCTACCGAGTTGAGAGATACTTCTACCTTGGGGCTGACTTCCGTGGAAATAAGTGTAGCTGGGTCGACATCGCCGGGGGGGGTCTTCAGGTGTCGGTTCTTCCTCATCTACCAGAATCACGTTAACCTGCGATTTGCAGACGTGTCCCTTGAACCACCTGTCGTCACTGCGATAGCATACGCCCCGGTTCCTCTTATCTTGGATTTGAGCCTCAGTTAGAGTTCGATGAGGTCGCACAATACTTCCCGTTCTTTCTGGTTGAGAGAACGTGATTGAGTGGGTCGGATTTCCCCCAATACTACGCCTCCCTGTTTGATTGCCTCGAATTCCCAAGGATTCGAACCCGGTAGCGAACAAGGCCCTATTCCTTTCTTCAATCTTTTGGGCTAAGTCAATGGCACGGCCCAGATCTCGGGGAGTCGAAAGTCTTAACTCCGTTTTGATCTGATCCGATAGCCCATCAATGAAATTCCCCAACGCCACCCTTTCTGATAAACCTTCCAGCGGAGCCGACAATTCGATGAACCGCCGGACGTATTCCTCCGTTGTCCCCGTCTGCGTTAGGGCAGC